GCAGTTAGATTGAGGCACAGAAAGAACAATGGAATCCTATAAATTTCCGTAAATGAATTTTTACTGAACTCACAGCTCTACTGTTGTTCTTTCTTGTATGTAATATGGAGCAGAAATTCTTACGCTCCCTATATGACGTTATGGCTTGTTCTGATCTCAACGGATCCTTATCATCTCGTTTTCGTTGGGAAGAGTAGATAATGCGCTTTGTGACACTACCTAACTCGAAATGGAGTTGTCAGAAAAGGCTAGTCAATATTTATAGTTTTGATTACATAGTGGCTAAAGCAGAAATGCCACAGGATATACTGGATACATCAGCATGAAAGCTGTTGTATTGATCATGCTCGTTGGATTTGCTCCACCTCTTGCAAGCTAAAAAGATCCAAATAAGGATCTAATCGCTTTATGAATGATTACCAACTTTTGGAAATTCTCTGTGCTGCGGTTGCGATACAATGTTAGAGGTGTATGATTAGCAAATTGCGTCTAATATTGAACATGGAACATTTTTGGAAAAGTCTTTTTTGGGTTATCGGGCGCTGATACGTAGCGCTGAGATAATCGAAAATGAAAAATCTCACCAAATTCCTTGGAGCTAGACTGAAGAATTTGTTGTGCACTTTATTGTGCGCACTTATACCCAAACTTTTTTCTTTTGAATAGTGCGTACTTAAATCCAAAAAAGAGAAGTTACTCCTTTTTGGAAAAAAATATTAGGAGCTCAAACAACACAAAAGTGAAACTCCCTTAGTCTCCAGATTTTTCTTATTTTAACGAAATCCTTCTTGCTAGCTCAAACATTGAAAAAGTCTCAAATTTGTTTATAGCTGTTGCATAAAGGAAGATCTGGCGGAAAATAAAAGTCAGAGAAAAAATAAAAAAAAACTTATGTATTAACCTATAACATCTTCATCTTAGTAGGTCACTTATGATTGCACTCTATTGCCTTTGCTCATATAATTTAGATTATAAGGCATTGTCCCAATTAGATTTTTTTTTGATTTTTCCTATCAATTGCTGTCCCTCCTTTCACAATACATCCATTTAGAGCTGGGTGATCACTTTGGTTTCCGATATATTTTCTGATATCATCACTTCAATTGTCATTCTGTCATTCATCCATTTAACAGGAAGGAAGAC